TTATTTTTCCTTTCTTTCCAGCTAACTGCCTTCTGTGAATGCAGTCCTTATTCGAGGTGATCATATGCTTCCAGTTGAAACAAGACTGAAATATGATGGCCCAAAATTTATTAAAAAGCTATATTTTCTGAGAGACTGATATATATATACATATACATATGCATATACATATACATATACATATATATTCCCTTTATTCCTGCAATATACATTGTAAATCTTGGAGAGTTTTTTGGGGCTTCTTGGGAGCGTCAGGTTGAACCAAGTCATTGGTCGGTAGAGTAAGAATATCATACGCAACTCTTCCAAACTTGTTCCATTAAGCTCTCTTGGCAGACACACTACATTGCACAAAAGGATTGAGAAGAACTAAAGAAGAGTTAAAGAAATCATTTTTTCAGCTCCAGCAGAGAGATTTCACCAGCATATTTACCAGAAGAATCTGGGAATGGATTTCACTACAGTGATACAGACTGCATCAGTAAGAAGTGACCGTTATACTGTGTGTGTGTATGTGTGCGTGCATACGCACATGGAGAGAGTACTGTAATACTGCAAGAGGGTTTTGTAAACTCCCCACTTTATTTTTGTATACACATTGATCAGATGCCGTTACTTCACTGCGGCTGCACCTATGCACTTGTGTGAAGCCATACGGTTGGGTTCCCATCGTCGCCTGCGCACACCTGTCGGGGCTGCATGCTCGTGTTACTGTAGCAGGAACTTTGAACTTAAGTGTATCAGTTTCCTAATGCTTCGTGATAGGCAACTTTATCCATTTTGAATGCCTTAATTTAATTTTTTCAAAGTCTTAGCCCTTTTCTGTATTAAAAAAAAGAAAAACAAGTGTTTACCAGCTCTTAGGATGCAAATTTGCTTTGCAGAAGAAAATAGTGCACTATTTTTACACGTAATAGTTATCAACGTCAGCCTATTTTGATTGTATAACAGAATTTTTTAAAATATTGGTGATAGAAACAATAATGGATAGTATTAGAACTAATATATCTTTTATGTATGTCTATTACTCATTCAACCCTTTTTACAGATCTCAGTGTTAGCGGGTGACTCTGAAACACTTGGAATTTGCTGACTACCCTAGATGTATTTTTATTTCTGGTAATAACATTTGTGACTATTTTTACATTTCACATTCAGCATTTATCTCAAATGTAAAGAGAACTAAAACATACTCTAGATATATTTTAAATATTTAAGTGGGATCCCTTAAACACACAATTGTGTACGACAAGATTTCAGTATTGGGTCATGAAAACTGGTGATTGGGAAGAAGTGGCCTCAAAGGCCGCTTGCCTTTTACTTTTTAAATGCTGTTCCAGTTTATGCAGGACCATTCCTGCCGTGTTTCTCACTGTCCCACAACAGTGTGTGTCTTGCACTGAGACAGTACGCACCAGTGATAAGCATCAGGTAGAAAAATTATGTAGCCTTCTGTCAGTCTCTGCATACACGCAGCACGTGCGCAGTCGGGTGTGACGTTGAAATGCATCATTTACTATTTCAATGAAGGAACGAGGACATTTCTCACGGATTCCCTCTGAGGTCAGTGTGGAGATATTTGAAGAGTTGGGTCCCCAGCTACTTACACTGTTGTGGACACTGAAGCAGGGCCTTCGGTCCGCCGGCGTCCCGAAGCAGTTTTCTCCCTCTGCCAGTGCGGTCTGCGCGCGCGCGCACTCGCACTCGCGCGCTGCCTGGGCTGGAGGTGGACGCGCCTGCCGTAGGCGGCGCCCCCCCGGCACGCGCGTTCTGCAGTTCTGGTTTGGGGGCACAGAATTTTTTTAAAGTAAGATTTAAAAATGAAAAATATATAAAATTTATATAGAATAAATATTTCCATTCATTAGACTTGTTAAAAGGAGACTGAATATTTTATATAAAGATTTTGTTACACTATGGGAGGTTCTATCATATTATTCTGAATTGGAGAGTATATATATATTTTTAATAAGCTTTATTAAGGTGAAATAATTTGAAGTTTACACATGAGTAATTGAACTATTTGAGTAGAAATGACAAACGTTTAAAATTTCGAATGCTGTATATATTGGGAACTGCGGAGAATCATGGAGTGATGCGACTGGACACGGAATGTTGACGTGACTCGGGAGGGGGCGGTATTCTAAGGGGTGAAAAAAAAAATCTCTCCCATGGAGATCCTTCACATTATGTGGTTTGACATAAGGATTTATAAGGTCGTTTGTCCAACTAATGGAAATGTGCTTAATAAAGATTCTGATCTTGGGTAAGAATGTGCTCTCCACCCTGTTGCCGGTTTCGTGCACGCACACGAGTGGCCCATGCGCCGACCCCAGCGTCCTCCCCCCAGCACTCACGCAGTGGGACCTCGACTCGGTGTAACCACCGCTGCGTTTTGCGCCGGCTCTTTTCCCCTGAGGCCCCCGAGCTTCCAAGGCAGATGCAAGCCTGAAGGCCGCCTATTTCCTCACCCCTGGTTTCTCCCAGAGCCTTAAATACCTCCTGTTGAGAACTGAGAAGTAGCGAATACTGGGGTTTTCTTAGTTGGGTTTTTGTACTTTTGTGGGGATAGTGAGGCAGGCGTAGAAGGAAACTTGTATTACTGTTGAAATTAGTGTATAGTGAGTTTTTGAAAAGTATTTTTTAAAAACGCTATCTCGAAGCAAGAATTTTTTAAAGATCTCTGAACCTTTAAAATGCTGTAGGTGAAGGCTAGGTATACCAACGCACCTAAACTCAAGGTCGGTGTTGTTTGAACTGACCTGAGCCGGAGCTGCGGGAACCCGGCTCCGGAGGGTCTCGTCTCCCCGGTGTCAGCCGGCCCGCGGGTCCTCCAGGAGAAACACTCGAGGTTGCCAAACCACGAAATGTAAGACGTTATGCTGCTGCTGCTGCTGTTAATCCGTGTGTAGGATTCTGGTGGTAAAACAGACACTATATTACCTTGTTGGAACATGCTTTGAGAAACATGTTTTTAAAAATCCGCTGAGAGCAAGTCACGTCTGCGCTGACACTCACTGCTACTGACTCCCCTGCCCGCCCTGGAACCAGGCTCCCGCGCGTCCCGCGTCCCTCGTCCCTCCTCCGCGGGAAGCCGCCGCCGCCGAGGCTGAGCTGTGAAGCACTTTGAAGGCCAGCTCTGTGTGACAGCGCTGACCGTGACGCTGGGGTCCTCTCCTCGGTCCCCCCTCCCCACAATGAGCTTCGTTTGACATTGTAGTAAGTTATGAACTGCATGGTTTAGATGATCATACATGTTTGATCAGCTGTCCCCTTTGAACGAAAATCGTCTCCCCTGATTTTTTTTTTGACTCTTGCATCTTTGTAGTAATGTAATTGTATATTATGCCTGCTTTTTATATCAAGAATAAATAAATAATTAAGACACGAGCATTTTCATACTTTTCCTGTGAGATATTCCTGGAATGCTAACGTTTGCCCCCCAAAGTTTGCCTTCTCTGAAAGATGGGGATAGAAGATGGGTTACACCCAAGCCACAGCGCAGGTGACAGACTCGTGAACCTTCAGCCCTGCCACTTCGTGCAGGAGTATGGAGTACTGAATACACAGTCCGGAGTTTCCACCAGGCGTCTGTCTCCGGTTTGGCGTTGGTGGTGCAGGGGCACGCACACCTACACTGGCCTCGCGTGGAGGAGGAAGGAAAGGGGCAAGGTGCCTGTGCTGTCAGAAACCATGCGGACAGGTGGTTTTCTAGAAGCACTGACTTCTTTGGCAGTCAGTGGGCTCTCTCCCGGGATATGTAATGGTTATCCGACCTGGGACAGGTTATTCCCAGAGCCTGCGCCTTCACCTGTAACCTGGAGATTGTTCGCATACGGGGCGGTTGTAGGGTTAAGTAGGAAAAGCCGAGGGGAGCACCCGGGATAGCTCCAGTGTGTGTGCCCTTCCTTCCCCGAGGGAAGGACCCGTGGGCTCTTCATCTAGGGTAGCATGTTCTTAAAGGAACTGCTTCAACAGTCAGTGAAGACTGGCGTCCCTTCGCTGCTGGGCGGTCGCACACTCCAGGGTTAGGCCCCATAGCACCTGGGGACTGCGGGTCTGCGGCCCAGTCCAGCCGGCTCCTCGTGCTCGGAGCATCCGAGCTCTGTCTCGGTGGCACGGGCAGAGGCAGGGGGACAGGTCGGGGAGGTCGTCACAGGCGGCGCCTCTCCCCCAGGCCAGCATCTGGGCCCTCGGCCGCTCCCCGTCTCCTTCCCGTGCAGACGCTGCTGTGGCGGCCCTGCGCCCCCAGCAGGGCGACACCTGGGTAGACGGGACTTGCCCTCCCATTCCCCCCCCCCCGCCCCCACGATCCAGCGGGGAGCGGCGAACAGAAGTCACGCCTTCTGTCCAAAGCACCCGGGGCTCGGTGCAGTGTCCCGGGTCTCGGTGCAGAGTCCCGGGTCCCTGCTGCAGGCCGAGGGCGTGGCTGTGCGAAGCCGGGGCGGTGGGACACACCCGGCCCCTGGGCTTCACGGGGCTTCTGCCCGAGAGTGGCACTCGGCAGGCTCGGAAGGCGGGAGCCCGGCCCCGGGGCCTTTCTGGCAGCTCGGAGGCACCGGGGCGGGGCCTTCTGGGGCCCGGGGGGCTCGGTCAGTCCGAGCTCGGAGAGCCCCGGGCAGAGGCGGCGGCAGCTTCCCGAATGGGCAGTCTCCTGCCCTGGCCGCAGGGGTCGGGGTGGTGACCGCAGCGCCCCCCCGGAGCAACTGTTCGGTGAGGGGCTGGGAGTTTCTCCTGCCCCTCCTAACGAGAATCTGCTTCCTCATCCTTCCTGGGGGGCGGGGCGGGGCGGGGCGGGGCGGGGCGGGGCGGGGCGGGGCTGGAAGGGGACCTGCTGGTGCGGATGAAGGAAGGGAGGCCCTGACCCTGAGAGTCTGGGAGGCGGGCTGGGCCTCAGGGGGCGGGACCACTCGGGCAGAGGGCGGGGCGAGGGCGGAGCCATCGGGGAGGGCGGGGCGGGGCGGGGCGGGGCGCAGACCTGGGCTGGGCGGGTCTCGGCAAGGGCGGACCCTGACATGGGCGGTGGCTGGCGGCAGGGGAAGGCGGAAAGACGGGAAGAACGCGGTGGCCGAGTGCTGAGCTGCTGCCCGTCGTGCTGCGCCCGAGTCCGCGGAGCCCCACGCGCCCCGAGACGCCGGCGCCATGGCCCTGGGGCTGCTGGAGCTCTGCAACTGGAGCACGCTGGCGGTGTGCACGGCGCTCAAGCTGCCGCAGATCTCCGCCCTGCTGGCGGCGCGTAGTGCGCGGGGCCTCAGCCTCCCGAGTTTGCTTCTGGAGCTGGCGGGGTAAGGGCCCTGGCGGCCGGGGTGCCCTTCCTTCCTCGCCTCTGACCTGCGGGAGTCCGGAGAGCCGCGGGCGCAATTAAGTAGGGGCGGCGGGAGCGGGGCCGGGACCCCCTGACTGCGGGGAGGGCCCTTCCCGGGGCCACTCACGGCCCCTTGCGCTTTGCTGCCCACCAACCCCCGTGGTCAGGCATCGACCGCGCACGCCCACTTAGCAGAGGAGGAAACCAGACACCTTGTGAGTCACTGCTCCCCCCAGTGAGTGGCAAAACCAACCGCCTGGCTCTGAGCCGGGCCCCTTGCGCCTGGAGACTCTCCCATACGCCCGGAGACTCTTATACGCTCACCTGCTGCATAAGGACCTTTGGGCCAACAATGGACCGACCGCCTATCCCACGGTGGTCCCATAGGTTAACATGGAGATGAAATATTTCTGTCGCCTAGTGGCCTCTTAGCCAAGGGAATGCCACAGGGCCCCGCACCGCTCTCCGGTGTGTGGTGATGCTGGTGTGCGCAAACCTAGTGCACTGCCTGCCCGTCGTGCAAAAAAAGTACAGCACTACGGTCCCAGCCGCGGGCCGCTCCTGCTCGGCTTGTCCGGTGCATGCGCATCATCGCCGCTCTCTGATGTTCGCGGGAGGACGGAGTGGCCCAGCCATGTGTTTCTCAGACAACCGACCCCTCTCCCCAAGAGGGGCTTGACTGTCCCTTCCCAAACCCACCCTCACCTTCACTCCCTGACTCAGACCTCGGTTTCCTCACCTGGAAAATAAAGGGCCGGACTTTTCCAAGGACCCTGTGGCTTTTTTAAACGGCACGTTTTGGGGTGGGGTGGGCTGGGCTGGGGCGGACTGGAAGAGTGGGGAGAGCTCTTTGGAGGCAGCGAGTGGAGAAGGGGCACTTGACTCCATCTGTGAAAGGTGGGCGGAGACCAACAGAGGCTGCTCCTGGAGGTGGTTCATGCATCACAAACCCGGGGTGAAGGCCCTGGCTCGGTATTGAAAGATCTGAATGCAAATTCACAGTGGTAAGACTAGGCTGGGAAAACCTGACTTGGTGGAAAAAGCTCGCATATAACACCCGGCGAGTGGCCAGGCCCCTTGTCCTTGGCTGGGCTGGGCCCTTCCCGCTTCCCTCCTGCCAGCCCAGCCCCCAGCCCAGCGTATCCCCCAGGTGCTGGCAGGCGTTGCAGGCTGGACAGGAGGGAGGAAGAGAGACCTGGTGGCCGGTGGGACGAGGGGCCCAGGCGACGAAAGGACCTGCTCTGGGCTCCCACCCAGTGAGAGGCTTTGTCCGGAAAAGCCTGGCCGAGGGGCAGAGGTGTGGCCCCTCACGGGTTTGCAAGTGGCCCTTCCACGTGGGGCCCCGGGCTGGGGGGCTGGGGGGCTGGGACCGAAGAGTAGAGAGGGGCCCTGGGGGATGGGGACACCGGCTCAAAGTGGCCCTCACGTTCGGTCAGGTGGGGGGGGGGGTGAGGAGACAGAGGGCATGTGCGGGGGGCGGAAGGCCAGAGAGAATGGCCTTGGTCCCTGGGGGGTCCCTGAGCTGGGGAAGGTGAGGCCGGCCCCGGTGGGTGGCGGGTGGGGGAGACTGACGAGCCTGCAGAGCCAGGAGCCTGCCCGCGCCCGCCACTCCTTCCCCGAGATCCAAGGGGCGAGGGCTCCACCTTCACCCGGCCTGTCACCTGTCTCACTTCCCCTGACAGTGCACCTTCGCCAGACCCGGCCTTCTAGCAGTGGGGTGCAGCTCCCCTGGGCAGGTGGCTTGGCCTAGGGTCCTGCCGGGGTCAGCTTGCACTTGGAGGCTGGGGTCCTGCAGAGTGACACTAGTGAGAGGACTAGGCACAGAGGGGACCCCCAGAGCTGGCCAGGGCGGGAGGTGCTTAGGGGTCAGGGAGGGGCCCGGACAAACTGGTGGAGGAGCTGCCTGACAGGCGGCTGCTGCCATTTTTGCTCTTACTGGGGCAGCTTTGGGGACAGGCAGCCTGGTTTGTCCTCTGACCCCGGTCAGCAGGTTGCCCTCTGCAGGAACCGTTTGTAAGTGACTCCCCTAAGGAACTTGACGGAGCCTGTGTAGAATACGCCCACAGCCCAGCCCGTACCGGAGGCTCCAGAAATGGTGGAGTTTGTTCAATGAACATTCCGCCCTTTTCTCAGCCTCCCTCCTTGACTTCTCGGGTTTTGCCAACCAGCCTGTGCTCTTGGGCGCGGCTGGCCTCCCCGTACCGTCTGCCCGAGTTCAGGCGTGCCCTCCCTCCCCCCCAGGTTCCTGGTGTTTCTCCGATACCAGTGTTACTACGAGTACCCGCTGCTGACCTACCTGGAGTACCCCATCCTCATCGCGCAAGGTAACCGAGCCCTCCGCCCCACCCCACCCCTGTGCCCGGGGCAGCCCTGGGGCCCCCTCCTCCCTCTCACTGGGACCTTCTCCCTCCAGATGTCATCCTCCTGCTCTGCGTGTTCCACTTCAGCGGGAGCGTGTACCGGGTGGCGCCCTACCTCGCCCTGTATCCTTCTGGCATCAGGGAGTCACGGACGGGCCCCGGGGTGCTGTCCGCTAACATTGTGCATTATTCAGCAGGGCCTTTACTGGATGCGTGCCTTTTTGGTTAAATCCAAAAGCATCCACCGTGGCTGGTGGTGCTCAGTGGATTGAGTGCCGGCCTGTGCACCAAAGGGTCCCCGGTTCCATTTTCAGTCAGGGCACAGGCCTGGGTTGTAGGCCAGGTCCCCAGTAGGGGGCGCACAAGAGGCAACCACACATTGATGTTTCTCTCCCTCTCTTCCTCCTTCTCTTCCCCTTCCTCTAAAAATAAACAAATAAAATCTTTAAAAAGAAAACAGTACACATTACTCAGCAGGGCTCTTTACCAGATACGGGACTTTCGGGTTAAACTCAAAAGAATCCCAAATGCAAGACTCCGTGTGAGAGAACATGTCTCCACAACCAGAGATGCCCTCGTGCTGTCCCCCTGCTCAGTGGCCTCCCCCTGAGACCTGGGCGTCAGTGGGGGCCGACAGGCCACGTGGGATGTAGGTCGGGATCTGGAATTCGAGTTTAACGGGGTGTCCTGGGTTGTCACCTGCTAGATCTGGCCACCCTACAAAAAATAGTCACTTCTGGGATCTTACTAGCTGCTGTTGGTGGTAGAGTTTTAGAAACTGTGTCAGGAATGAACTAAATGAGGTGCAATGGCAAGGTATTGGACAAAAAAAAAATACCACAAAGGTTAGTTTAAAAAATTAGAGACTTTTTTTAAAAAAGATTTTATTTATTTATTTTTAGAGAGGGAAGGGAGGAAGAGAGAAACATCAATGTGCGGTTGCTGGGGGCCGTGGCCTGCAACCCAGGCATGTGCCCTGACTGGGAGTCGAACCTGTGATGCTTTGGTTCACAGCCCGAGCTCAATCCACTGAGCTATGATTAGAGACGTTTTAAAACCAGATCTCATCCACCCAGCTCCAGGCTGCCTTTCCGGAGTTGACCAGCTTATTAGTAGTTAGTCTACTGACTCTCAGCACAGAGCATTATCTGTTCCAGTCCCTTCATTTAAATAACGCTCCTAATTATCATCGCAGCCACCTGCTGGGTCCCGGCAAGTGAGCCCCAAGGCACTGAGCAGGAAGACGGGGCAAGGAGTGTTAAGTCCATTTTGCAGATAAGCAAACCAAGGTCTAGAGAGAAGTGAACTCGCCCAAGGTCCCAGCAGAGGTCGTGGGCAGCCCCTCGCTGCCTGGCCGCTTCCGCTCCTGTGTCCGCCGCCTCGGCTTCTGGCCGCGCTGTGTGCCTCGGCATCACTGAGCCGGGTGGAAACCGGACCTCCCTCCTCCGCCTGCCAGCTCCTCGGTCCTCACGGCAGCACCTTCCCGCCGGAGGCAGTGAAAAGAGGGGAGTCAGTCAGTCCAGGGCTTCACGGGACACCCCTTTTGCAGGAGATGCCTGCTGTATAAGGTCGGTCCCTCTTGTCAGCGCTTAACCTGTGACACGGCGTGGGCGACTTCCTCGCGGTCGGGGATGGAGCCAGAAGTTAAAATCCTCCGGCAGGGGGCGGTGTCCCCACCCCCAGGGTCAGTGCACGACCCCGGAGTTCTCGGTACTTTTCTTCCCTGAGCTGCTTCTGGTCCTTGGGACTCCTAGCGCACGCGCACTTGACACCGGCGTTGTCTTTTCCGGCTCCGACAAGTTCCTGCAGAGCCGCCCCCGGTTGCACACTCGGCTTCTAGGTGGAGCCCCCTGGGCACAGGGAGGTGCGGGGGCGCAGGCTGCTGGAGCCGCAGCTCAGCCACTTCCTTAACGCTCGCTAAGATTCGTGGCGTCGTGGTTCGTCCTCACCCTGCAGAAGTGGATCATAGACCTGGCCATGGTGAGTCCCGGCCGTGCAACAGCCGTCTGTCCCTCTGTCCTCTCCCGGCCGCCCGCCCGCCCTGCAAAGAACTCGATAGACCCACTGTTGGGCCTGCTGGGTCTGCTTGCACCTGTGCCGAGGGCCGTGGGGAGGAAGTGCAGTGTTCTCCGAACAGGAAAAGACGTTATTCCTACTTCAGTGTATGGAGGTGTTTTTACTTCCGTTTTGGGGGCCTAGAGAACCCGACTGGGGAGGTAGTTCGCAGCAGCAGAATGAAGAACTAAGTGTAAGATAAAGAGCTTCCTGTCTGGCTAATAGTTACGTATTGGCCGCATACTCATTATTTTGTTGAATTTGTTCTCCCCCTCCCCCCACTTTCCACTCTCTTTGGAAGAGGGTACAAGCACCCTATCCGTTTCCTCCTTCCTGGTGAAGGGCCCAGATCCCCGCGCTGTGGGAACGGGAGTCTGGTGGCGGGCGAGGAAGCATTTCGCGCCCACCGTCTCCCCCCACCCCGGGGGGCGGGAGCGAGCACTTCCTCGGGCGGGAAGAGGCCGGAGGGAGCTGACTGGTGGTCACCAGCCACTGCCCGCCACGCCCAGCTCACGAATTTCTCTCTCGATGTCTTGTCCACGGCCTGTTCTTGGAAAGTGGACGTAACTGTGTTTGTTAGGTTTCAACCCAGCAAGACCGCAAATAAGTAGGGACGCCAGGTTAATGATAAATAATTTTTTAGTATAATTATGCCCCAAATGTAATTATGTCCGGTGGCCGGACATAACTTATGTTAAAAAATCGTTTGTGGTTGACCTGAGATTCAAATTTAACTGGGCACCCCATATTTTTATTGATTAAGTCCGGCCACCCTCCAGAAAAGTCTTCCAGGATCTCGGGAGCGGCTACTCCTGGCCGAGTGGGTGTGGCTCTGGCTCTTGGGGCTGATACAGAGGGGCCGGACGGGGTCCAGAGGTCAAAGGCCGCAGCAGGGTTCTTTCATTTCTTCTGTGCCCTGAGTTCTCAGTGGATGAACCTGGCACCCTAACAGTTCATAAAGTAGCTTCCTTTTCCCCCGGTTGAGTGCTGTTGCGGTGCCCGCTGGCTTGCTGGCGCCTACTCCGTGGCAGGCACTGGGGCGCTGGGGACGAGATGCTGGCTTGAGGGTCGCGGAGCCACAGAGAGGAGGAGGAGGAGGAGGAGCTAGGAAGGCAGAGCTGGCACAGTGACTTTAAGAGCCTGTCAGTTCAAAGCAGCACGGCCTGCCCCGGGTGCCGAAGCACAACACCGTGTAAAGACACGTAGGACTTTCTCTTACTGGCAGGTGGGGGGGATGCGCCCTGTGCCCAGGCCTGACTCCTTCCTCGCTCCCCTCTGCACACCCGCGCCAGGCCCCGGTCACTCACTGGGGTGCAGTCGGCGGGTCCCACACCAACGTCTCACCGCGGCGTTCTTTTCCACTAACGTGGGTTTTGCCGTTGTACAAATTGGTCCTTAGTTGGCCTGACACTTTTGCTTCAAAAGCGCTTTCTGTCTCTGGTGCTTTTTTTTTTTTTTTTTTAACGAAGGGACTCCGAACTTTCTCCCTTTTTATCTGCAAACAGAATTTCTGCACTTTGATCAGCGCGGCCAGTAAGTTCGCCCAGCTGCAGTACCTGTGGAAGAGCCGGGACCCGGGGGCCGTGAGCGCCCTGACCTGGATCCTCGCTTCCTACACCTGTGCCAGTGAGAACTGAACTCGGCGGGGTCGGGGGGGATGGGGTGGGGAGGCGCCTTCCCAGCCCCCAGCATCCGCCCAGCAGAGCGAGGTCCCTGGGGTGTAGGGCAGGGGGCGGTCGGTCCCAGCTCTAGTCCTCTGCAAACTGCTGTTCAGACAGACCCTCCTAGCGAGCCCAGGCGCACAGGCTGATTGAATGCCGACTACTCTCCGTTTTCTGCCAGAGCCGTCGTGCAGGCGCTGAAACTAAGTGAAAGCACACCTTTCACCCCGAACTGAGCACCGTTTTGAGTCCTCTCTCTGTTCTTTGGAGAGCAGCGAGAGCATGGCTGTGTTGAAGGCCCCACCTCGTTGTAAAATGTTGAGTCTTTATGACATGACACACCCTCACCCCGCTCCCCTGGGTGGCACCGAGTGGCCCTGCGGGAAGGGCCGCTGCTCGGCCAGCAGCGTCGGAGCCGCTGGCCGGGAAGCAGGGCTGGCTTGGGTGTATTCTGTGAGGTCTGGTGCTATTCCGTGTTCCACACTGCCAAAGTCTTTCAAGGACGGTTAGTATACATCCCTGTATTTAAAATGGAAAGGCGTAGCGAAACACCAGGGTGTCTGAGAAGCGAGTTGCTATTTATGGCTTAATATTTTCCTTTACAGCAAGAATAATAACGACCGTGATGACCACCAATGATCTCACAAGTAAGCCCAGTGTGTTTCCTGCCCATTGTTCAGTGTTGCGGGGTTTTGCTTCCTGCACGTGTAAGCGCCTTAGGGCTTAACAGATAGGGTCACTTGGCGCCACCCAGAGGCCGGTCCCGGTATAGTCCTGGTCTCCGGCAGCGTGGGCACTGCCGGAGAACACGCACACCCGAGTCGCTCGCTGTCCGCGTGGAAATGGAGCCCTCCGGATGGAAATGCAGAGTCGTCACACCACGAGCTATTGGGAAATAGTGTGAAATGTGTTTTGAAAGAACAGGACGGGGTGGGCACACAGGGGCCAAGCACGTGCGGGGTCGGCCCCAGGAGAGTGCCCAGAGGGCTGGACTGGGGTGGGGGGGGGGGTTTGCCTGGCCCGAGGAGGGGAGGGAGGGAGGAGGTGCCGGCCACGGCCACGGGGCCCAGAGCCTTGGAGAATCGCCCCCAGCAGCCGATGGACCGGCCTTTTAAAGCACGGGGGCGACAGGCTCATTTGACTCCGTGTCCTTGCCTTATTATTTTTTTTTTAAGGGATACTGTGATGGAGGAAAAGATACTTGGGTTACCCAGAAAAGATTAGTAATTCCATAGGCTGTTTTTTAACTCCCATAAGAAGGTTCTGGGAAAGGATTAGAACAAACGGGGTCACCCAGCCTGAGAATCGGGTCCCTGACACAAAGATCCCTTCCACGTGAGCGAGCTCCTGGTTACTCGAGGGGCGTGGCCTCGGAGCCCCCGGAGCAGCTAATCCCTTCCAGGAGGTTGAAGCCTTGGCTCCCATGTGGTCACCAGCTCTGAGACAGGGGTACACGCGTTGGGGTCCAAGGTCAGCTTGGGTCAAGTGAAAGGACACAGGCCTTTGCCCCGGCCCCTGAATTCTTGGTACAAAAGAAGTCAGGCGTACTGAAACCAGGCCGACCCACAGGCTGGAAACGAAGCTTTGGAGATCGAAAATGTGTGCGACGCGACTTGTTTGGTGTCTAAGGCGACCGCGGTTCCCGCAGGCGACCGGTGTGTCGGGAGGTAGCCGTTCGACACAGCCCAGCCGGCGCAGGTGGTGCACTGAGCCTCACAGACCTCCTCCATCAGGACGGCGCTCCCCGAGTCCCCATCACTTCTTTTCCTAAAGAGCCACATTCTCAGTTCACAGCTCGGCGTGAACTGTGCTTTGACATTGGTGCCCGTTTTCAGAATTATTGTAGCAGAACGCTCTCGGCAGCCTCGCCTGTGCGTGGGGGGGTTCCGACACGCTGCCCGCTGCCCTGAGAATGGGCAAGGCGGTTTTAAAAAGTCACAGTATCGGCCGCGGCCGGAACGTGGCAGCCAGGTTCCTCCCATTTCAGCATTGACAAAGAGAAATGATAATTCACGGAGTCAGGCCAGGTGGCCAAGGGCAGTCATGACAGGAGAAAGATCACGGCTCCGGAAATAATGGGAACCTTGTTTGGAACTTGGTTGCTCAAGTTCCTGTGACTCGCAGTTCTAATGAGTTTCATTGTTGGGGGCAGGGGGCAGCGCAGGGGGCGGGAGTGCAGCTTTATTTAGGTTCCTAGAGCAGAAGGACTTTTTGTTCTAGCACGTGAAAACCGCATTTAATGTGCATTTTTTTTCTCTTTGCGACGTCTTTCAGTGCTCACACGTTTTGTGGTCATGCTGGCGTTGAACCTGTGGGTGACAGCGACGGTCCTGCGCTACCGGAGGCCGGCCGCCAAGGCTGAGTGATGGGGACGAGAGTCTCGCACCCAAAGCGAAGGTCGGATAACTGAACCAAAGGGAAGGACGCCTCGTTGCTAAGTCAAGTCTTTTATAAACTTGGTCGTTTCAGAGCCTTCGAAGCCAAAGGTATTTAGACGGGAGCCCCTCAAACCCTCGTGTGAGCCGGCTCTCCCACCCCTCCCGCTACCCAAGTAGGTTGTTAGAGCTCAGACCCGACGGCTGGAGATCGTCCAAGAACTCAGTCTGAGATCGCTTTGACCCATAAAAGTCACGATCAAGTTCTCTCCAAAGGGCTAACTGCATCTGTTTTTCAGCTTTCGGAGTCTTTTAAGAAATAAGCCCTTTCCCCAGCACAAGTGAGCACGGAGTGGGATTTTGCTCTGGCAGAAGTGGAATTGTAACATGACTAGGGTTTGCCTTCCGGGACTAATGTCTGATTGTAACACAGGTGTCAGAGGAGGGCCTTATTGTATCGAATGCCGCGTAACACCTCCCTCGCTTGCAGCGAGTGTATCAGGGCAAGCACGCACACACCTGCTTGAGTTCGTGCACCAAAGCAGTCCCTTGCCTTCCCCCCGTGCCTTTCAGCAGTTCCTAACGAAACGTCCTGCTGGATGCCTTCCTTGTGATGAAGCAGGTCACATTCTGATGCAAGCACCGTGCTGACGTCTTAAAAAGGGCCACATCCTCACAAGCAGCCATTATGAGAACTCAGTATAACACAGAGCTGACCCGGACCAGGTTTTGTATATTGGAAATATACGCAGTAAAGGCTATATTCCTGGTTCTGCCGAGTTCTTCTGGATTTTATTCTCATTACAGTAGCATGTTCTAAACATGACAAGATTATTGTGCGCTGCGTTTTTCTATAAAAGTTTATAAACCCTAACTTTTCAAAGCTCTCTTTCCCCTTGTAATCGAACGGCATTACTCTGGTGTGTACATCTGCAGGATGTAAGTGATCTTTGTTAGATGTTTTGGTTGCCTGTGTAAAATAAACTTTCATATTTTGAACTCTGAGTCTTCAAACTGTCTGTTTTAATGCGATTGGTTTTCAGCTATGTGAAATGCCACTTTAAAAATATAAACTGCGGTTAATCCTAGATTCCTGCTGGGGACCCGCAGGGAGACGTGGCATCTAAAAGCAAGGAAATCGTTCAGTCCGCGGCTTTTAAAATCATAGTTGTCACTTAAAAAAATACCCAAGTATGTCTTTTTTTTTAGTTTTTTAAAGATTTTATTTATTTATTTTTAGAGAGGGAAGGGAGGGGGAGAGAGAGGAAGAGAGAAACATCAATGTGCGGTTGCTGGGGGTCATGGCCTGCAACCCAGGCATGTGCCCTGACTGGGAATCGAACCTGCGACACTTTGGTTCGCAGCCCGTGCTCAATCCACTGAGCTACGCCAGCCAGGCCAAATACATCTTTTCTCAAATGCAGCCACACTCTGGCCGTTTGGATAAATACAAACCATGTGACCTCACGCATACTTAGAGGACTTTTTAAATTAGCCTCTGGAAGGGGCATGGGGTGGAGCTCGGGAGCACAGGGGGCGAGCCCTCTGCTCTCCCTGCCTGGGTCTCAGGTGCGTCCAGGTGCAACTTCAGGTGTTACTGGCAAGGGGAGTCTGGACGGTCGACTGAGCGTCCCCCAGGGTTTCCGCAGAGTCAGCTGCTCCGCAGACACCGCTGGGCGGTGAAGGTTGCGTGGACAGTTACCGCGTGCAGGAAGCGTAAACCGGGGAGAAGCCGTTGTGGGTGGGAAAGGCTAGGCGGTGGGGGCAGCGGCGGCAGCAGAAGCCTCTGGAGTCTGCCACACGGCGGACGTTCCGCTTCCAGTGAGTTGTCTCCGCGTGAGTGGAAGCGGGAGGCGGGTCCCCATCCGACATGGCCCTGGTTGGGAGTCCCAGGTCTGCCACGTGGGGTGGCCCCCGCTCCGCCCTGCCTGTCCTGGGCTCTGCTTGTCCTCGGGGTGGCCACGACCCGGGCCCTGGGACCAGCTGCCCTGCCTGTTCATGAGGGGACCTCGGGGCGGCAGAGCCCTGCTCCTCCTCCGGTGTGGAACGAGCACTCACCGCTGGCCGGCCACGGACAGGAGCTGCCTGGCGGGGTCGGCGGGCAGAGGCAGGGCCACAGGAAGCGGCTTGCTGCCTGGCTCTGAGCCTCTCCCTGCGCCGGCTGCTCTGCCGGAAGCCCGGGGCGTGGCGGACGTGGGGCATGGGACTCAGGTGTCGCACAGCCCCTGCCGCCCTTGAGGCATTGACCCTTACAGGCTGCACACCTAGGACCAGCCCTCGCCTCCCCAGGCCTCGGTGTCCACCTTCTGACATGGGGATGGTCGTACCCCACCCCCTAAGGTTCCTGAGAGGTACACAGTGGGTGTTCAGTAGGCGGTTCTCCCTCCCGGGTAGAAACTCGCTACCGATCTCGTTGGGATCTGTGGGCACCAGCTTTGCTCCTGAAGCCGGGGGGGCGGGGGGCGGGGGGCCCTCTAGGTGGGCCCTGCAGGAAGGTGCTCCGGTTCCAGCTCCAACCCCTGCTGGACACCCAGTCCCACGGGACCGATGGCCCCGCTGTGTCCTCGGGAGGGTGAGGAGTGTCAGGACTGGTGTGTGCGTGTGTGTCTGTGTGTGTGTCCTCAGTGCACACCCACACCCACTGGGACGCCTCTCCAGCCTGGGACGAGGGTCGCCACCTGGAAGCACTCTCCCGGGCGGTGACAGGGCCACGGGGCCAGGTCAGCCGCAGGCTCCCCCACGCCCCTCACCCACCTGGGGCAGCCCCGCGAGCCGCCGCCGCCTCCTCCTCCTCCTCCTTCTCCTAGACGGGCTGCAGCTCGTCTTCCAGCTTCTTCTTCCAGACGCCCTCCACGAAGAGGAAGTCCAGGCCGATGAGGGTTCTCCCCAGAGGCGTGTCCAGCCTGCTGCCCACGGTCCGGTTCGTGGACTGGGGGACAGTGTCGGAACAGAGAGGCACGTGCTCCGGCAGCTTCACGGGCTCCTTCTTATTGCCCTGAGGGGAGGGGACGGTTCACGTCACACGGGGAAAGCACCTGAGACCCGGCTCCGCCTGGGGTGGCAGTGCCGCGGGTTCTGTGGTGGCGGCGGTGGTTCTGCGAACACAGAGACCTTTAATTAGCACTGTGGCGGCCATGGGCGACGCGTCACCGGAAGGGACCCTCGGGGCACGGCCCGCCCTGGCTGCAGGAGGATGAGTCAGAGTGAAACTGGTCCTTGCACACAAGGGCAGGCACGGGATCACTTTGAACCTCACCCAGAACCCTGAAGAATTAGAGTCACGCCCCTCTTTCTGCTGAAAGGAGCACCAGCTCTGGGGTGGCGGAGCGTGGCAGGACCGGGCACCCGAGGGCGGAGCTGTGGGGGCTGTGGGGGCCCTGGGGGCTGGTTTTGGGTTTCGGTGAATTTTTACTCGAAGTTTCACCAACACACAGCAAAGCGCATTAGGTGGTAACTGCGCAGCCCCGCAGACTTGCATGAGGCAAACACACCTGTGCCCGCCCTGCCCCCCGTGGGGGTACAGCAGGTCTCGAGGTGGGTTCCCGGGCAGGGCACACGCCAGCCGGGGCTGCGGGTCTGGTCCTCAGCCAGGGCACGGGCGAGGGGCAGCAGATGCCCGGGTCTTTCTCACACCAACAGTTCTCCCCCTCCCCCTCCCTCCCCCTCCCTTCCCCTCTCTCTAACATCAATAAGCCCGTCCCCAGGTGAGGATTTAAAAAAAAGGACAGAGTGAACTGGTCAGGCCCGCTCAGGAAGGGGAGATCCCCCAGGAGAGAAGGCCCTCGAGTGGGGTCCTGCGGGATGAATAGGAGCCCATCGGGCTGCCAAGGCAGGAAGGGCATTTCGGGCAGGGAACAGCATGTGCGAAGGCATGGCTAAGAGCGTGCGGGGGTTCGGTGTGGGGTGAGCAAGGGAGGCAGACCCGATGAAGGATCTGCACCCCGGGAGAGACACGGGCAGGCTTGCGTTTAGGGAAATAATCACTCAAGGAGGACAGACCGGAGGGAGGCGGTGTTCTTGGAGGCGGGAATCAGTTTACCAAGCCTTCCACCCCAACGCACGGCCGCGGGGCGGGGGGGGGCCACCACCCCACGTCCCCACTCGCTGCCGACTTCCCCAGCAGGAGCGAGGAGCCCCATTTCCAGCCGGCTCATCTTCATGAAACCAAGAAACGCCGGGAAAGGTGACTTTCTAAACGCTGCACGCCAGCATTGTCTTCCCCACCAGACTCCGGACTTCTCGGAACTGGCCTGCACAGTTTGTCCGGGCCCGCACAGCCCCGCCCCTGGCCCGCGCCCGCCGGCCCCCGCCCACGTTCAGTGCGTGACCCGAGCTCCCGGCGCAGCAGCCACGGTGGATGGAGACGGACGGACGGACGCACGGACGGACAGACGAGCGGTCTCACCATGGGGTCGTAGTCGCTCAGGAAACTCCAGTTCTGGGCCCTGGAACCGAAACGCGTTGGCAGCGCCGGCCCCTTAACCGCCGCAGACCATTCGATAAATCATTGGAATCGATTGTGCACCCGTCAAGCAATTCCGAAGACTCGCAGTAACAGGAGTCCCCTCTGCCCCAGGCCCCCTCCCAGCCCCCGAGCCCCACGGCCGGGACCCTGTCGGGTCTTTTCGCTGTTTCTGCGCTTGCTTCCAGCTGCCCTGACCTGGGGGCGAGGCTCTGGGGAGCCAGGCCGCCGTGGGCCCCTGCAGCCTGGCTGGGCGGCTCCCGGAGCAGTCGCTGGACCCAGTGGCTGCACGAAGGGGCGTCCTGCATTAGGGGACCCCTGCCTGCTCTCCCTCCCACTCTCTAGGCCAGAGTCAGGGAGGACCGGGCTGTCCCCCACCCCCACCCCCTCTCCCAGGCTTCCTGCTCCTCAGCCCAGCACGTGTCGGTCCATGCACTTGGTCTGGCTTCCCTCGCACCTCGGTCTCTCTTTCCCCAGCAGCTTCCTGGACCCCGCCTCGGGCTGGGGGTCAGGGGAGGAGGGCAGGCCGGGCAGGCACTCACCAGCGCTGCTGGCTCCGCTGCTCGGCCTCCAGGAGCTCCCTCCACAGCTGGTCCCGCTGCACCCCGTCCGCTGCCAGGGCCTCTGGCTCAGCCCGGGGGGCCAGGCCACCCGCGGCTCTCCTGCCCGCTACAGGGCCACGCCGGGCGGTGGGGGAGACTAGGGCTGGTGGCCTGGGGGAGGGCAGCCGGCACCCGACTGATGTGGTTTTCTGGAGGCCAGAGATGGGGTGGCTCCCCATGGGTGCAAGTGAGTGTGTGTGTGTGTGTGTGTGTGTGTGGGAGAGAGAGAGAGAGAGAGGAAGAGAGAGGAAGAGACAGAGAGAGATGATGCACCTCTGCCCGAGCTGGGACCTCTTCCAGGCACCCCCCCCCCACACCAGGGGAGCCTGTGAGGAGTCACTGCCCCTCTGGACCCCGAGCTCACAGGGGCCGCTGGGACCAGCTCTCCAGGCTCAGAGGAGAGCGGTTGTGCCCAGCTGTGTTTTGAGCTCCGGCCTGTGTTGATGGTTGCCCCGGGAACGGGGCAGCTCCGCCTCTGTGTGTGTGTGTGTGTGTGTGTGTGTGTGTGTGTGTCTGCCTGGTGCGTCTGAGCCCCAGGGTGGGGTGGAGAGAGTTCCTGGGGCCTCGCTAGGCCCAGCTCAGCTGCCCCTCAGCTCTGCCCTGCCCTGTGCGCCCCCCACCCCCGGCTGGAGACCTGGATACAGCCCTGAGGAGGACGAGGGGCCACAGGCCTGGCTCCTGGGGCGGGAGGGAAGGGCCTGGGCTCCCGACAGGACTGGGCTTGGGACCCAGCTCCCTGGCCCTGGGTCATTGCCGCAGGACTTTGGGGAGCCCTTGCTCTGGGGGGCCCATGGAGGGGCAACACGAATCCTGTGCGGCCCCTCCTGGATGCATGTGAGATGGATGGCGGCTGTGAGGGTGCCTCGTGGTCACAGACCAGGTGTCACTGGCACGTCTCTGGGAGCAAGGGAGCGAGGGGGCGCTGTGCGCATGCGCCGAGTCAGGGGACAGGAGCGACGCAGCCCGAGGAATCAGTCCGCTCCGTCCGCGCGGACCTGCAGGGTTTTCGCGGCACCGTCCTTGCCTCTCCGGGCCCTCCGGACCAACCACTGCGGGGTGTGCGGCTCCACTCAGCGGATGAGGAAACTGAGGCCCTCGCCAGCGGGGCGGAGTGACTGCCCGAGGTCACGCCGTCACTAACTGAAGTCCAGGAGTCCAGGAGGTCCTCCGAAGGAAACGCTGAGGCCCCGAGGTGGGGCACCCGTGTCCTGCACCCGCAGCTGCGCCTCTCTGGCCCGGGCCCCTCCTCACCAGCCCCTCGGGGCGCCGCCGGCCCGGCTTCCAGGTCTCTGGGCCTCTTGCTCGGCGCTGGGCGCGGGCTCCTTCTCTGCGTGGCTGGGAAACAGGCGCGCGGGCCGCAGAGCGGCGTGCGCGCGGCACCCCAGGGCACGAGGACTAGTTCAGCCGACACGCCTGGGCTCGCACCGTGTGCCAGCCCCCGGCGCCTCTTCGGGGTTCCCCGTTCAGGTAAGAGGCTCCAGGGAGCTGGGTCTTCGCAGGTGAAAAGGACCTGCCAGGTGGAGGGACTGGGGCAGGGGCAAAGGCCGGGACGCGCGAGGGAGCCCAGTGTTGCGGCCGAGACAGGCTGGCGGTCAGTGACCTTGGAGTTTCCCAGTAAAGAAGAAACTGTGCGGAAACCAAGGGCCGGGATGCAGCTCCCTGGGTGGTCGTTCCCCTTAGGTGTCTGTGCCCCCAGCACGGCAAGGGCAGGCCACCTCACCTGCCCCTGGGGTGGGGGGGTCACCGCCCCAGCCACGGAGCGGAAGTGCCATCCATAAGAGTGGGGTCTGTTTGTATTTAAAGGTTAAGGGTTCATGGAAGAAGGTTATCTGGGACCTGGGCTGCTGACGTGTCTGTAATCAAGTGTCCGCAGGGCCAGGCCCGCTCCGGGACACATACGGTTCTGGTCTCTTCCGGCTCTGGTGGGGGCTGCTGGCGATCCCGGCACCCCCAGCCTGCAGCTGCACACGCCAGGCCCTGCCGCCTCCCTCACAAGGCCTGGAGGCGTGTCTCTCTTCCCGCAGCCATCTTTTCGTGGGTGCACCCGTGGTGCCCACCCAACTCTGGTGTGACCTCACCGGAACCGGTGACACCTGCAGAGACCCTGTTTCCAAACAAGGGGTAGGGGCGCGTAGGCCTCCAGTGTGTGGCTCTCGGGTGAACGTGACGCCACCCACGACAACTTCCGTGGACTCAGACTCCTTCTGCCACGCACCGTGTGTGGGACCAGCTTCTGCTCAGCCCCTCCTGTGCGCCAGGCGTTTTACTCTCGGCGTCTTCCTGTGTCACCCCATCTCACCAGGTGGCTAGTGTCAGTGTCACTTTATGGCTGAGAAAACAAAAACTTCACGAGGCCAAGTGACTCGTCCGGGGAGGGAGGCGGCGAGTGAAGGGCCAGGAGCTGGGGTCCGCTTGGGCCTCCCGTCCGGGGTCTGTGCTTTCGGCCACCGGCCAGGCCGAGACAGGACACGGCAGCCTAACCCTGAACACCTCCCCGTCGTTCTCCGGAAGGCCCCCTGCTAATTTTCAGCATCAGATCCTCCACTCCAATACCAGCCTGGCCTCTGGGCGCTCGCGTGAATCCTCCCTGGTGGACAAGTGGGTTAAAAATAGAAGTTGCGTCCCACTCCAGGCTGGAGAAGAGGCCCAGCTGCGTTTCGTGGTGGCACGTCACAGCCGTGGGGGGGCAGCATCGGGGTTTGGGCGCAGAACCTGGGGGCTCAGGAAAACCACGGCCCTCCCTGAGCCCACCAGCCGTGCCAGGACCAGAACCCCTGCCACCCCTGGTTTCTTCTGATGGGTTATTGGTGTCCCATGTAAACGGTTTAACTCTGGCTACTGGAAATATACCTCCGTGGTTTGTGTTCTGTGGACTCTGGGTTCCCGGGGTGCGGCCACTTTCAGCATGGGGAAAAATGTTCCGGGGCCTCGTCTTGATTAACCTTATTCTGCAGCCCAGTGCATTTTAGGCAAGAAGTGGAACTGGGGGTGATGGCAACACTCGTCTGCGGCAGCAGGGGGCAGCCTAGAGCTTTGCATCCCGCGTCTGCCCGGAGCTAGCAGTTCCCTTTCTGCCCTGGGCTGGGGGCTGGGGTTGGGGAGAAGCAGAGAACGGAAGGGAAAGTTCCTTGGTTTCAGAGAAAGGACCGAGATGGGAAGTGTGTGTTCTCGGCTCTGGTGGGTGGTGGGTGAGTCTGAGATGCAGCCTGTGTGACCAGTGACAGGTTGCAGCCCTTCCAGAGGAAAGTGTTAACACCAGGACTGAGTGATTTCAGGCTGGTGCCCCACGGGTCTTCACCCTGATGTGTGGGTGGAGAGGCAGGTGCGGAGAGCTCAGCGGGCTTGCCCACGAGCTCCAGGTGAGGCAGCCGGGCTGCCCAGAGCCCCTCCCACTGCGTGTTCTGGAGCCCCGTTTGTTTTTTCTGGGGGCTCCCCGCTCCCTTTCCAAGTGGGCGTCTCCTGTCCGCTTCCAGTGGGGGGAGGGGGGAAGACTTGTCGCGGGACAGTCTCTGACAGCCATCAGTCACATTCCAAGCAGACGGCGGGGGGTGGGGGGACAGAGCCAGTGTTGGGGCTGCACACCAGACTGGGCAGAAGAACTCTCTGTCTACTGATGGAGCTGTCACGATTTCTGGCTCTTTATTTTGCCAACATCAGCCTTGCTGTGACGGCTGCGAAGACAGGCAGCTGCCTTAGACACGCTGGTTCTAGGAACTGGTGGGGAGTCCGTGCACAGGAGGGGTCCCCGGGAGCCCCCCTGCCAGACCTTGCCTGGCCCTGGGGAGCCCCTTACGGTGCTGCCGCTGCACAGTGCATGAGGACGTTTGCTCTGGGTGACCGGCCCTAACGGTGCGTTTGAACTCGGGCCCCTCTCCTTCGAGGGACCCGCCGGGACGGAGGCTGCGTGTGCATTCGCACCGTGCATTCTTCCGGGAACACGCATCCTAGAATGGGAAGCCTCTTGCGTTTTGCATTAGGGCTGAAAGTCACTTAGTGACTTCCTGTGCGGAAAGGAGGTAAATCATAGAGACAGAGAGCGAGCACTTAAGGGTCCGACCTGGAGGGGAGTGGCAGCTCCTGCCCCGGCTGGCGCTCACAGGGCTGGGAGCCCAGCGGCAAGGCAGCGCGGGTGGCGAGGACGCAGCTCCTCCTTGGGGCAGGCGCGGTTTCCAGCGCCTCCCTCCAAGTCCCAGCCCCACACCCTCGGGTGACAACGGCAATAAAGACGGTCACTGCCCAGGGTGATGTCGGCCCGGAAGTGGCACAGGTTGTGTGTGTGAAGCCCTCGGGGAGCTGCCTGGCTAAGGCTGGCTGATGTCATGGGCATGTGAAACCCGCCAAGTGGAGTGGCCCCAAGAACACTCCTGTGGCCCCCACGGCTGGGTTGGCTCGTCTCGCTGCAGCAAGGAGAGCTCCCCCGGGGGCTCCGAGGCCCTCGGCCAGCGGGGACAGGCGCCCTGCCTCCCTGTGCCTGCGACTGTGCCGGGGAGAGGGAGTCACGTGCAGCCGCAGGGTGGCCTTGCCAGGGGTCCTTCGTTCTTGCTGCCGCTGTGGTTCTGCCGGCAGAATCGTGCCGGTTGGAATCTCGTTCGTCTCGGTCTGCCTGCCAGCAGGGCTGGTGTCCACTTGTTCAGTGATGACGCAGATCTCGGATCAAAGGCTTGGGGCTCGTCCGCACCAGTGCGTGAGCGCTGTCCCCAACAGACACTGAAACGGGAGGGTCCCTCAGCCTTGTGTCCCCACCTGTGTGCCAGCACCACCTGGCTGGCCCCACCTTGCATCTGGCCTGCCTGTTGAACCTGGGAGCCGGCCCATCCGTGCTGGGCTCTTACCTGCCAGTCAGGTCCCCGCTCCGAATCATCCCTTTCCTGACCCGCAGGAGCGAGCTCCCCACCCAGCTCTCCGGCAGCCTCTGGCCTCGGGCTCTATTTCCTTCTTAGCGTGTGTCTCTCTCATGTTATCATCTCCTTCCTCGCCCGTTTCCCCTCACTGAAGGCACACCCCCACAGGTGCCCCTCCAGCGAGAAAGGTGCCTGGCGTGGAGTAGGTGCTCAGGTAGCAGTTGTGGCAGGAAGGAGGGACACGGGCACCCGCCCACACATAAGCCTTCCCCGTTGGGCCTCAGGGCTCTAGGCAGGGGCGTCTGAGGTCAAGGGGCCAGCCTCCCTCCCTCCCTTGG